GGCCCCTCCTTCAGTTTCTGTCCCTCACTTTGTCTCCATATTTGCTCCCTTGAGTATTTTGTTGCTCCTTCTAAGAAGGACCGAATCACCCTCACTTGGTCTTCCTTCTTTATGGGCTTCATGTGGCCTGTGAGTTGCATCTTGGGCATTTCAAGGTTCTAGGCTAATATCCAATAATCAGTGAGTGAATACCATGTGTGTTCTTTTGTGATTGGCTTACCTCACTCAGGATGATAATTTCTAGTTCCATCCATTTACCTAGGAACCTCTCGAATTCATTGTTTTTAATAGCTGAGTAATACTCCATTGTGTAAATATACCACATTTTTTGAATCCATTCCTCAGTTGAAGGACATCTGGGTTCTTTCCAGCTCCTGGCTATTATAAATAAGGCTGCTATGAACATAGTTGAGCATATGTCCTTATTATATGTTCGAGCATCTTCTGGGTATATGCCTAGGAGTGGTATAGCTAGATCCTCGGGTAATGCTATGTCCAATTTTCTGAGGAACCGCCAGACTGATTTCCAAAGTGGTTGCACAATCTTACAGTCCCACCAACAATGGAGGAGTGTTCCTCTTTCTCCACACCCTCGCCAGCATCTACTATCACCTGAGTTTTTAATCTTAGCCATTCTGACTGGTGTGAGATGGAATCTCAGGGTTGTTTTGATTTGCATTTCCCTGACGACTAAGGATGCTGAACATTTCTTTAGATGCTTCTTGGCCATTCGAGTTTCTTCCGTTGAAAATTCTTTGTTAAGCTCTATACCCCATTTTTTAATAGGGTAATTTGGTTGTCTGGAGTCTAATTTCTTGAGTTCTTTGTATATATTGGATATTAGCCCTCTATCAGATGAAGGATTGGTAAAGATCTTTTCCCAATTTGTTGGTTGTCGTTTTGTCCTATTGACAGTGTCCTTTGCCTTACACACCTTTCTTTCTTAATGTTTAATATCTTTAAGAGTAGAAAATGCTGGCCGGGCGGTGGTGGCACACGCCTTTAATCCCAGCACTTGGGAGGCAGAGGCAGACGGTGGATTTCTGAGTTCAAGGCCAGCCTGGTCTACAGAGTGAGTTCCAGGACAGCCAGGGCTATACAGAGAAACCCTGTCTCAAAAAAAACAAAAAACAAAAAAAACAAAAACCAAAAAAAAAACAAACAAGAAAGAAAGAAAGAAAGAAAGGAAGGAAGGAAGAAAGGAAGGAAGGAAGAAAACATCATATGTATATTATAAATCATTATGGGCCCTTTACCCAGATGTAAACATTGTCATCTCAAATCCCAGAGAGCTTATCAGTGTTTCAGTCTTGAAAACACTGGAGAAACGACTTTAACCAATCAAGAAGCAGCAGAAAAATACTTTGGCCAAAGGAATGATGGGAAGCTTTTACTATCTTCAGCTGTAGATCTAAGTCAAGAATAAAGGCGCGGCTGGGCTTGGGCAATGGAATGCAAATACTACGTGTTTTCACAAAGTAGAAGAGGGCTAAGAGGAGGGAAAGAAGGAAGAAAGACTGGCGAGTAGGAAATTCTGCTCTTGCCTGCTTACAGTCTGAAGGGACTCAAGCCTGGGAAGCTGTCAGTGACTTGCCTGTAACCCCAGTACTGGGGAGATGGGAATCTAGGAACGTGAAGAGTTAAACGCCAGCCTAGGCTACATACTGAGATTCTGCCTCAAAATAAATAGAGAAATAAATGAATACATGGCTTTGGCTGCAGAGTGGTTAAGAATGAATACTGCTCTTGCAAAGTCCATGAGTTCAAGTTCCAGCCCCAGTGTCAGTATGTCAGACAGCTCACAACCATTGCGACTCAAGCTCCAGGGGGATCGAATGCCTCTGCTTTCCCTCAGACACCTGGACTCACATCAGTGTGCCTGTGTGTGTGTGTGTGTGTGTGAAGGGGGGGGGGGAGGGAGGAGAGGGGCGGAGCCAAACTGAGACAAGAACCAAGGAGGAGCCAAGCTGAGTGTTGAGCTATGGCACCTGAAGAACTTGATCAGGTGGTCATCAAAAAGGAACTAAAGGGGAAGCCATTCAGCTGAGACAGAGAGGAAGGGAATGCCTGAGAGACAGTTGGCAGGGGGCTAGTACATGACTTTGGAGCGCAGGTAACCTGGGAAGACATAGCTTTCAACTGGAACAGAAAGCCTATTTCAGAAACGTGTCACTAAAAATCTTTTCCTAGAAGCCCTCGGACCCCACAGACTTGACCTTTCCTCTCCTAGCAAGAGCTAGGCCCCACATCCATGCCTAAAGCAGAACAGGTAAGAAGCAACTGTGTGAGCGGCCTGGGATGTGTCCCTGAGTCACACTGGAGAAGGATAAACAGCAGAAAGACAATGGGACATCGTAGGTCCTGCTCTTAGCTCCTGCTCCCGACCCAGCACTAGTTTTTGCAGATGAAGTCTCTTGGAGATGTCAGAAACCCTCAGACAGCCCGAGACGTCCCTTTAGGGCCTTCTCCTTGAGCTGGAGGTAATGATATCGGCTCCTTTTGCACACTTGGGGAGGCCTTCTTTGTGTGTGCGGGGCGGGGGTGGGTGGGTGGGTGGGGACAGGATCCAAGTACCGGTGCAAGCTTGGAGTGTGGGTGAAGAAAACTCAGAGCAAAGGCTTTTTTTGAGCTCGTGGAGACACTGCCCCCAGCTGGCGGGCTGAGGAAGGCTGGTTTTAATCTCCAAGGAACTGGGAAGGGCGTGGTCCCTTTTTTTTTTTTTAAACTGAAGTGGTAAACCTTTTACGGGCCAATTGGGGAAAGGTGCTACGACAGGCGGCAACAATAATTTCAAAAAGATATGGAGAAGGAAAGGGAGGCGGGTAAAGGTTTCCCCTGATAAGTCTCTGATGAATAGTTGCCTAGGCGTAGCCTCACCCTGCGGCATCTCTGAGTCACCCAGCAGCAGGGCGCGCCCTGGGCTGAGGTCCCGTGCGTGGACACGTGCTGAGTGCTGGGTGGGAGCTGGCTTCATAGGATTCCTACTCCATTTGGGACTTGTCGGACGAAATTGTGCAGCTTCGTTCTGGACCAGAAGTTTATAGTTGGCTTGAGAAGAATTGGAAGCTAAAGGGAGTTCGCACAAGCACACTGCCTCACGGTTGCTGCACTCCAAGGCTACTGGCACAGGGTTACCCGCACGCAGGCTTCTTCCTTGAGGGACTGCGCTCCTGGTGAGTCACCACAGGGTGTGGCCGGGTGCGCAGCTCCTGCGGTACTGTAGCCTGCACTGCCTCCTGTCGCCTGAGGTACCCCCCAACACTCCCCTTCCCGCAGCCCCAGGCGCGGGCTCCTCTCCCAAGCCCCCAGGAGCATTCCTTCAGCTTCAGAGAAGAGTCCCCAGAGGGTCAGGGGACAGATTATTCCCATTGTAGGTGCAGCCTGCTTCCAGGAGAAGGGGAGCTTTGAATTGGGGAGCTAATGAGTAGTAGGCGTCTGAGAGGATGGGAAACCCGCCCCTAATGGCGCCAAAGAGCTGAGCTCTGCTTGGTGGAATCACTAAAGTGAACCCAAAAGTATAATAGTAGCTTTAATTAAGGGCACATCAAGGAGACAGTAGCTGAACAGAGCTCCGAGCCAAGCTCAGCCGTTCCCAGACTGGAGAGAAGTGCCCAGTCTCCTCACTGCTGATGGCTGAAGATAGGCAAAGTCTTGTCAGATCCTAGTTTGCAGTCTGGTCTATAGGTCCCTGGCGGCGCTTATCCACTCCTGGGAAAGGAATTGGGATGTAGTAAGGGCAATGTCCTAGAGACCCATAGCTGTGCAGGGTTAACTCTCAGTAGAGTCTGCTCCCTCAAAAGCCCACATTCTGAAAGTCACTGATGGCAGAGGGGGGCTAACATTAAACCAGGGTTGGAGCCTGGGAGGAATATGCACCCCCTATTCTTCACCCTCCTCCCTAACACCACCTGCACTTCTCTGTACATCCTCTGGGACGGGATCATCCTTTTCAGCGACTGCGACTCTTGGAACAAAAAGATAGTGTCCTTAGCCCTAAGACATTGACCTGAAGTCTCTTGCCTTGAGCCCCTCAGAGAATGAGGTTGCTGAGCCCTGCTTGCAAGAGCACTTAGGGATCTATGGCCCTGGGTCTCTCCTTCCTGGCTTGTTTCCTTACCAGATTGTAAGAAGGGAGTTAGATGTAAGAAACTAAGGCTAGGACCTGCCTGACAGGTGACACCTCGAAGTAATAAACAGTTGTTGCTCCACCCCACCCCACGCCCACCACCCAGAGGAGGTTAAAAAAAATTCCATTGGAATCTGGAAACCCATCTGCCTTGTGCTGGGAGACCCAGTAGGTGGTGGTCTTTCAGCTGGCAGAGGTCCATCTCAGTGAACCTTTAACATAGCCTGGTGTAGAACCTGTTACCTGCTTGGTTCCTCAGATAGGTTCCAGCAATGGCCAAAGCATTGGCACATATAGGTGTCCCATGGCTCTTCCATCTCAGGGAGACCAGGTCAAAAGATTTCACACTACAGAGACCTGTTGCTCCTGTCTGTATGCCCCAGGAAGGTGCTGCTGCTGCTGCTGCTGCTGCTGCTGCTGCTGCTGCTCAAGTAAGGCAGCAGTCAGTGGCACCCTGGGCATCTTCTTGCTGCACCATGTCTTTTGTGTTCTTGCTGCCATGGCTTGGAGGAGTTCTGGGTTGTTGCAGACAGCTGCAGAGGGTCAGTCCTGCTGACTGCTGTGCTTTGTCTAAACTCCAGAGCCAGCTCACCCGTAAGAAGGATGGGGCAGGAGCAGGTCAGCAGACAGGTTTACTGGGGTTTGGGGAAAATAGGGAGTAAAAGGCTGTGAGGGATGGGGGAGTGACATCACATGGGGGTTCCTCATGAGGAAGGCAGAGACCCTCACTAGAATGGGAAAGTCAACTAAGGAATACAGAAGGGCTGGCTGAGGATCCAGGAGACTACTCACCCAGTGGATGTGGCTCCTTCCTCCTCTGCCTTGGGGTTTCTCTGATCATCCTGGGAGCCCTCAAAGCTGAAGTTGATCCTAATAGATACTTAGCAGGGGTATTTTTATTGAGCATTTGTGTGACGTGTGTGTGTGTGTGTGTGTGTAGGCCCCAGAGTGAAATAGTGAAATTCAGCCAACTAAAGCTTTTTTGTTCTCAGACAAAAGGAAAAGGATTGGGACTTTGGTAAGGAAAGGTTGGATGACTGGACACATACAGGGACCTCTCCAGTGCCCCAGCAGCCCTGAGAAGTCACTGACCCCAAAGGGGAAGAGAGGGATTGTTGAGTTTGGTAAGTCAGTCTTTGATGCTAATCCCAAACAAACATTACTTAACTGACTAACATACCTATCTACACAGTCAAAGCATGACCTAAAGGTTAAGGTGACAAAGGGGACACACATGTGTCAGTCACCCTTTGACAAGTCCAGTCAAGTTTGTTTAGTGAAAGTGGCCTTCAGATTCCTAAAGTAACCTAGGTGACTGTCATCATCGTAAGCCACGTGGCCGAGGTGCCATGTGCAGAATGCAGGTAGAGTCTACTATGCTGCTCAGTTGCATTTAGTGATTTATTTAGTTCACTTTCTTTTTCAGGACAAGGCCTCTCTGTAACCCAGTCTGGCCCTGAACTCATGATTCCCCTGCCTCTATCTCCTGAGAGCAGCAAGTAGAGTCATTCACCTCACCTGGCCCCAAACATGATTTTTTTTAAAGATTTTATTTATTTTATATATATGAATATATATAATTTTATATATATGAGTACACTATCGCTGTCTTCAGACATGCCAGAAGAGGGCATCAGATCCCATTACAGATAGTTGTGAGCCACCATGTGGTTGCTGGGAATTAAACTCAGGACCTTTGAGTAGTCAGTGCTCTGAACCACTGAGCCATCTCTCCAGCCCCAAACATGATATTTTAAAAGAAAATTTTAGCTGGGCGGTGGTGGCGCACGCCTTTAATCCCAGCACTTGGGAGGCAGAGGCAGGTCGGTTTCTTAGTTCGAGGTGAGCCTGGTCTACAGAGTGAGTTCCAGGACAGCCAGGGCTACACAGAGAAACCCTGTCTCAAAAAAACAAAACAAGGGCTGGAGAGATGGCTCGGTGGTTAAGAGCACTGACTGGACTTCCAGAGGTCCTGAGTTCAAATCCCAGCAACCACATGGTGGCTCACAACCATCTGTAATGAGATTTGATGCCTTCTTCTGGTGTGTCTGAAGACAGCTTCATATATAATAAATAAATAAATCTTTTAAAAAAACACTTTATTTATTTATTCATTCATTCAGTTCTTTACTTGTGTGTGTAGTCATGTGCATGTGTGTGCATGTACAGCACAATGTGAATGTGGAGGCTGGAATATTTGCAGGAATCAGCTCTCTCCTTCCATCATGTAGTTACAGGGATTGAACCCAGGTCATTAATCTTAGCAGCAAGCTCTCTATCCACTGAGCCAGTTTACATGCCTCAAGTTAGTGATTTTTAAAGTCAACCAAAAAACTCCCAGCATGGTTCCTACCTGTAATGCTAGTACTTGGGAAGCTGAGGCAGAAAGGATCACTGGAAGTTAGAGGCCGTCCTGGACTACTGAGTGAGACTCTGTCTCAAAAGGACAAACCAAAACGCCTAAAAAGCAGCTGTGTATGGCGGTTTACTGCTGTGACCTCACCACTGGGAGGTGGGTGCAGGAGGGTCAGGGGCTCAGGGCCACTTCAATACATGGTAAGTCTGAGAGCAATGTGGAATATATGAGATCTTATATCATAAAATAATAATAATAACAATAATAATAACAACAATAATGAATTAATAATAATTATAAAATAATAATAAAGATAAACCGTGGATATAGTGGTCCATGCCTTTAATCCTAGCACTCAGGAGACAGAGGCAGGCAGATCTCTGTGAGTTCAAGGCCAGCCTGGTTTACATAGCGAGTTCTAGGACAGCCAGAGCTACACAGTTCCCAAATAAGACCGTGTCACAAAAAATAAAGTTAGGTTTAAAGATGGGGAGGCTGGAGAGACGGTTCAGCAGAAGATGTGCTATTCTCTCAGAGAATTGGAGATTAGGTTCCAGCATCCATGAAGAGTGGACTTTACCTGCCTCCTTCTACCTCCAGCTCCAAGGGGTTTACACCCTCTTCTGACTTCTGGGGGCACTACACTTGTATGCACAAATCCTCACTCAGATACACCCAGATACATCTAGGTAAAACCTAAACAATATTTAACTTTCAAAAAGGAGAGAAGAAAACGAAAGAAGGAAGGAAGCTTGTAGGAGGTTGGTCTGGTGTTACTATCCAGATGCTAAATTCCATACTGCAAGATCTGGTTGCCCCTAATGAGGAGATCCTCACATACACCAAGTGATGCTATGTAACCTTGCTTCCCAAGTTAATTGATAAATAAAACGCTAAAGCCTGTGATTGGGCAGTAGCTAGAGGTAGGCGGGTTTTCAGTTACCTCTTTGTGTGTGGGGTTGCAGGTAGAGAGAGGAGGGGGGAAGAGAGAGGAAGAAGAAGGAAGATGTCACCATGGGGTACATGGATCATGAGCACATAACCATGGAGGTCCTGCCTATTGGAGCAGGATCTGTCCAGGCAGAAGAAGGCAAGTGATATCTCAGGGGTATTGACTAGGGACATTGACAAAATAGCAGAGAGGGCTGATGGTATCTGCCTAGTTCTAAGCTTTAAGGCTTATTATAAATATAAAGCTTTTTGTGTCTTTTATTTGGGAACTGAATGATCTAAGGTAGGGTAGAAACACACCCAAATAATATTTACCTAACAGAAGTTAACTAAGAGCAGCTGAGGTTGGAAGGTTTATTTTCCCTAAGTTACACATCAGAGGGCTTACAGGAGGAGGCAGGAGGCAGGATCCTTGAGTAAGAACAGGCCTAAGGCCAGAGCATGGCCTCTCTTTCCAGAGGTTAGCCCAGAGCCTGTGACTGGGGTTAAAGGCCAGGAGCACGGCAGATGCCTGTAGGTCAGAGAAGGCTCTTCCTGGAGCAGGCTGACCTTGATGTTTATCAGCTGAGTCCAGAACAGGGGTTTTGGGAAGCAGAGACCTCTGCAAAGGCACTTGGGAGGTATGAGACTTAATAGGTCCAGGTCTACTGCCTGTCCTCCACCCCCAGAGAGCTCCCAGGTGGGCGCACCTCTCAGATAAACACACTTCCTGGGTGGGCACACCTTCCTGAAATTTTGCGTTGGGGGAGTAGGTATGTTTGGGAGCACCCTGACTGCCCGAGCCTCTTCTCTCCTATCCATGGAACCACTGGCCCTCAGTTCTTTCCTTCCTCCTCAGCAGTGGAAGCCCATGGCTCACCCATCTGGGTTCAGGAGCTCAGGGGCAGATTGACTGGGCTGTCTTTGACCCCCTGTTCCCTATTGTACAGGCTGGGTGGGAGATAAGTGTCTCAGGCCTCTGTGAACTCAAGCTCTGGCTCTGGCACCAGACTGGAGTCCCCGACAAGTCACTTCAGAGTTCTGAACCCAAACTGAGTATCCAATACAAGGGTGAGAACCCTAAGGAGAATCCCGAGATGAAACAGCCTCATGCTATCCCCCAGTCAGACTGGCTCCCTGGGCTGTTTTGAAAATTTGGAGGCGTGAACTGGCACCATGGATATCATAGCTGAGCATGGAATCAGGTGGTTCTGGAACAAGGCTATCCAGCTTGTGCCTAGTCCTGAGGTTGCTCATGTACTATGGTACATACCCACTGTTTATTTATTTATCTGCAATATTGAGGTTTAGACCTACGGCCTCATGCTTAGTAGGCAAGCATTCTGCCACTAAACTATATTCCCAGTCTCTAGTATGTCAACACCATTTTCTTTTGTTCATGATGTCCTGTAGGCTAGAGGGGAAAGGAAAGCCCACCTGCCTGAGGATGCCAGGAGCCACAGAAGGTACCTCAGGCTGCTCTGCTGGCCCTGTCTTCACCATGGCTGATGACTTTACTATTGGTTCCAGGGAAGGTGTAAGGTGCCCTGGTCCCCATAGCACACAAGTTGAAATTGCATAGACATTCTCACCTCTGCCCATCTGAGGTTCCTCAGACACTGTGAACCAGGCAGGTGGTGGGATCTGCTCTAAAGGGGCACTGGGACTGAGACCCTGGTCTACCCACTGCACTTCTGTGGACAGTGGCAGCTGCCTGTTGTCTAGGGGAACAGAGAGAAAGGATACCACACTACTACTAAAGACAGCAGGGCTTTAAGGGGAACTGTGTTCCTCCAGAAGGCACAGGTTCCAGAAGAACTCAGTGTGTCTTGAAGTGTACCTGGTCCCATTAGATTCTGAGCCTTGATGTCCTTCCCCGGGAATGCCCAGAGGGCTTCGTGAGGATGGCATAGCACAGAGAAGAAACACAGGTGGGATTAGGGCTCAGGTTTTATTTGGAATCATTGAAAAAAAAAATCACAGCAGCATTTGATTGGTGATCAGAAGGACAATAGGGTAAACGGAGCCAGCAGGAGGCGCTGGCGCTGGCAGTAGCGTGCATGGACAGGCTTGTGGCACTGGGCTGGGGACAGTGAACGTGGGCAACCTGCAGGGCACTCTAGGCAGGGCACTCGGTGTGCCAGGTTGGGACAGGGTCCAAGGCAGAGGGGTGTCCCTTGAGCCTCTGTGGTTGACTGGCAGCCTTCTAGTCTCCTCCACTCTTGGCCTGGCCGAGAAGAGAGGGCAGGAAGGGGAAGGGGAAGGGTAGGAGGGAGGGAGGAAGGGAAGGAAGGAAGGAAGACGAGAAAGAGACTTGCACCCATTTCCAGGCCCACAACTCTCCTTGACCACCTGGAAATGGTCACTTATGGAGCGATCAGGTACTTAGACCCCTGACTGCCCTACCCGCAACTCTTCGGGAAGCTGTGGAAGGTCTCCCGGGACCCAGAAATGAAAACGGGAACTCTATGGCTCAGGTCTCTGCTGCAGAACTTTCTGGGGCACAGCTGGGAACCTTGCTCTTACCTCTTCATCCTCCTCTTGCTCTTTGGCCTCCTGGTCCTGTGCAGGGGGTTCCAAGTCCTCCTACAGGGGAGCAAAGGAGACACACGGCTATAGGAAAATATACTGACCCTGCCATAGCAGGGCTTCCCCTGCCAGGTCTCACCGATGAACAGAGGCCCTCCGTCATCTTACTGTGCTTAGAGGGTTTGG